CACGCACGCACGCACGCACGCACGGTGCTGGACCACTTGAGCTTCCTACGGCCCAGACTCCCCAATCCTTCCCGAACATGATACGGACACATGTCTTCTGCCTTAGCCTGGCAAATTATCTGGCAAAGAGTTTTCTGTAGTTTACACCCTACAGGGGACACGAAAGCAAATAACCGCACATCAACAGACGCTCTCGTGCTGCTTTCAACAATGGTATCGGATATCGTGCGCATTAACAAGATGCTTGCCTGTGCAGATTTCTTCAATGCCACAGAATGTTGGATTGAAGTCTAGTGTGATTTTCGACGTTGTCTCTCGTACCTAAGACAGAGAACACTGCCACGACCATGGGCACCGACATCTCTAGTTGCGGCACTGACGGCAGGGAGCTCAGGCATTTGCAGCACCTTGGGCGGTTCTCAGCGAGCTTCATTCAGACAGTGCCGTGATGCGCCACGCTTAGGAACCGATGACGACTCTCAGCTACGCTCGCAGAGTGAGATGAGAGCGGGGAGCTAACATCACCTGCGAATGGATTTGCTGCGTGCGCTCACGGCTGCTCTTTTGGATTTCCTGGCAACGGGCAAGGGAGTTTCCTGCATCATGAGTGGCAGGTTGTGTTCTCTTGTCTGGCAAGGCTCGGACCAGAGGCGACATGCTGGAGCCTCAGCAAGAGATAGTCTTTTCGCAGATGACAGTACATTCAGACAGTGCGACTACGGCTCATAGAGTGTAGGCAAGAGATTATCTTGTGGCAGCCTGCCAGCATGCCGCTCTGTCGACTGCTGGCTTCGACACCGAATAGCCGAACAGCACTCACATCCTGAGCTTTTTGAGGTTGCGCCTTCTGCGAGCAGTGCGGAAGAGCAACATGCTTGTCAGACTAGCGGACATGGAGCCTATGTTTCAGATACTCGGCAGGGTGCCAAGCCAAGGGCTGCTTGAGCCCTTCCAGACCAACTTAAGAATCGATTTCCGAGCTGACGCGGGGTCGCTCGGCATCCCTTCTTGGAATGTTCGACCGAAGGTCTGAACCGGCTCTTCTGCAGTAAGCCGCCGTGATCTCAGCTGATCTTGACAGCAACAGACGCGACCACTCCGCATCACTTCGCACAGCTCAGGCCTCGCGAGACATCAGCGCTCGATCCAGGCTTCGTAGCGTATCGCGGCGCAACAGCCCCGGAGACACCGGCAGCGGCAGCGGCATGCCAACGTATGCAATCTGCCAGACAAGGTGGCCGGTGTAAACACACCCAGCGGGGCCTTCGGAGAGTTTCACCACTCCAATGTCGTCCCACATGCTGCACCCCAAGTCCGGCTGCAGCCATCTTACGAGAGTTTTCGTTTTGTAAGGGCGTTTCGTGTCCTGTAAATGCTCGACGATGCAGGCTTGGAAGGGCATAAGTGTTTCTCTGGCCAGCCACGACTTCCTGCAGCAGCAGGACAGTGTTGTGTTCTCATCTGCACAGGCGTATCTATGCGACGCCTAGGTACGCGTTTAAAGCCAGCTTTCACTCCTGTCAGGAAGGTTTCAAGCCAAACCAAGTGCTCCTGCCTCAGACATCTTCTGCATGCACGATTTATCTTCAGTCATTGCTGCATCACACGAGGCCTGAGAGGGGCACCACAGTTTTTCCTCGCCTTTGGGTTCGAATAACGTGCTCCTCGTGGCCAGGGACTCCGATTTGCGTGCTGGTTTTGGTTGTTGCGATGTCCTTGTTGAGGTCGCATCGGGAGAAACGGACGTCGAAGAGCACGTCGGGGCACAACCGGCACACCGTTGCCGGCCCACTAGGCAGGGCATGTCTGCGAACCGCCTTGCGATGCAGTGAATGTCCAACTTCTACCTCCAGGTGCTGAAATCCCGGGACCGACGAATTGGGAATCGGTGTGAGCCCCAGCATGCGAGGCCCCTCCTGCCGTACCGAGTGGCGCACGGCTCCGTTCTCCAACACATTTACTGTGTAGATGGCACCGGCATGGCACATTTGCTGCGTCTTACCACGCCTGTCAACACGAAACAGGAGACTCCTCAAACCCATCCCTGCAAAGGCCACAATGCATGTGCTGTGTCAGGTTCCTACGCATCTCATGGGAATATCTCCTGTGAACGAGGCAAGTTTCGTTATGGGCTTGATCCTGCTGCAACCCCGCAACCCCGCAACATGCCGTCTGCTTGAGCCAGGAACAGTGCAGCAAGTTTCCGCCGACGCTCAAAACGATGCAGTCGCAGGAGATAACTGGCATACGTTCCTGTTGCGAAGAAAGTATCTCTCGTTTGATCCTAGCTGCGTTTTACATTCGTGTCCTAGGTCGGTGCACTTGCGCACTCGTGTTTCCTTCTGGCGACGACACAGCACGACTGCCGTCTGCTTCAGGACGATTGGGACATAGGCCGCACAAAGACATTGCGGGCTCCCAACAACATGCCAGAGCTGATGAACAATGAAAAGATTGAGCACAAGGCACCAGCCTCAGTGCTGTAGTTCAATCTAGTGAATCTAGTGCTTTCTGCAATCTGTGAAGTGCTCTGAGGTTGTATGCGCAGTGATTAGTGGGCACATGCGCCACGGCATCCGCATCGGTCAGCGAGAGCCCTCCTGACAAGTCTTGCTGCTACTATGTCACGACGTGGTACCGTGTTCAAGGAATTGAGGTTCCTGCGATGTGAGGATTGGCATAAACTTGGTGGAGACCCATCGAAGGGCGAACCTAGACCGTGTTGAGACAGTCTTTTGCCTATTGGCATGAGCAGATGAGAGTCGCCGTGTGGAGATCCTGCTTTGCATCAACCGTGGCAGGAGAAGTTCCATCTACGACGTGGAGGAGCTTTATGGACAGTGCGGGGAGGTGTGTCTAGGAGGCTGGATCTCTCCCCGTATTCCGCAGCTCACCATCTAAAGAAGCTCATCGATCGTTGGCAGGTTCTCCCACGGAGGTAGAGTTCGAGCTTCAGCTGAAAGTCCAGGCTCCCAGTGGCTCCCGGCATGTTTCCCAGCTTGCAATACGGTTCGTCCATGTTCGTAAGACTGAGAAAAGTGGCCCCTTTGAGAGGAGATGACGGCCAGGCCCCTGTGGCATTTGCCGCTGCAGCCTCTCCGTGTACCAGCCCGAGGGAGTCAACTCAGAGCCGCCGGCGCCTCACGACTCTCTTTTAGGAAAGCCTGCTCTGGGAGCTAAAGAACCGGCTCCAGACTACCACAACAAAAGTGTGACTTCGCTAGAGATCCCGAGAGGCGGGGATCGGGCCTTGTCGCGGGTACTCTTTGCAGCATGTCTCACAACGCTGTGATGCTTACAGAGTCAAGACAGGGCACGGAGATCCTCAGGAGTTGGAGGGATTTAAGGCCTTCTTCCATTCATCACCACTGTTGAAATCAGTTTTGATTTACCATTCTGTTTGATACTCAGCCCTGTTCAGTTTGGAGTTTGTCCTTGCTTGTATCGCCTTGGCATCTGACCGAGGCCCGAACAGCCTGCCGAGGCTCTGCTAGAGGTGAGTTTCGATGCCTCGGCGGAGGACACAGGGCATTCCGCGTCTTGTTGCGACGTTTTTCTGACCCGCGGAAAGCTGAGTCCAAGCCACGTGCTTCACACTGCATGCACGATGCCCGGCCATACCTGAAGCCAACTGTAGGAGCATTTGCATTTCTATATCTCCTCTTCGTATTTCGACTCCAACAGCACGTACAATGTCAAGCCGCCATGTTTAGCCGTGCTTGTAGTGGATGGACTCTCGACGTCGGCCAGGTCGCTCTCAACTGGGTGCTCCGTCCAGGCTGGAATGCCAAGCACAGCTTTGTACAACATGAATTCCCAGCAATGCTTCAGGTCTGCGACTCGAAGCCGACATGGACTCTGATAATGTCTCGCCGAATTAGGTGGAAAACATCCGTGAAGATCTGAAATGAGACATGATTGCCATGAGTCCATCAACATATTCATCATCTTCTTCATTCTTCGTCCAAGATTACAACTTCCATGGCCCATGATTTTTAAAATGCCCAAGCTCCATCACACATATCCGAAGTTCATAAATCTATGAATACTGCCAAAAAATATAGTTTGTGGGGAGGGGACTAAACTCCCGACATTATGATCATAAAGACTAGTGCGATAGTAGTAGCACTATAGCTGATTATCCATATTGCAATAATATTAACAATATTAGATCATACTCGTACTATAAGCGTAATTATGATATTATAATCTTGTTTTTACGAACTTCATGAGCAGGCTAGATTTCATGTTGCCAAGTTTGTGCTTGAGCCATGTGGGTACCAGCCTGGCAAGCGCACTGGGGCGCTTGCCACTGGCCAGACGAGCCATTCTGGCAAGACGGCGGACATGTCATGCCACGCCCTTATTTATCCTTATTTGCTGAAAGTATTCTTGGGGTTTCTTGGGTGGTGGAAGTTCAGTTACTTTTGCAGTTTGGCGCAACAAGTCTATGATATCTTATGGAAGCAAATGTCGGGCGAACTCAGGAAGCCATTTGATGGACAGTTTGCTTCTGGGGAGTTCACGCCGTCGACGGCGCCAAGCGGATACGTGGTTTGCCAGCACTGAAAGCCGCCTGCTATAGACGTTCCCTGACATAGCCTCAAACGAACTCGATACCTCTTTGCCGAAGCACCGAAGCTTACTAGGTGCTAAGCAGCCAGGGCCCTGTTGGGGCACGCATAAACTAAGCTTGACGTCAAACGCCGTAGTGTTTGTGATTCCGGCATGGATCCAGCACGCTCTTCTTCATGCTGTGCTCACCCTTTGCTGTCGTTGATCGTGTTTGCTAGATGCGTCACCCTTTGCCTGAGCGCGGCATGCTCTGAACAACAAGTAGACCTTCGCGTCATTGTTGCCGCCATGCTAAAGCGGGCGCGGCATGCAACAGCACTCGTCTTAACCTCAGCAGCCCAAATCCCCGGCCGGCAGCTCCTGTAGGTCACCCCGTGCAAACTCCAAAGCCAGAGCCACCTGAGAAAAAGGTTGTGCTCCGCTCGGGCTGAGCGCAAGGACTTGCGGGATATTGATAATCCTGATCCTACAAGCCCTGAACCAGCAAACCCTAACAACACCGTCAGTATGTCAGTTTCTGGTCAGCTGGCGAAGTCATGCTCCTTCTCCAAAGACGTATAGCCCTAGTCCTATTTCGGTCGCCATCCACCACACAACAAAGCCCTGTCGGATTGTCGGTCCTGTCGCTGTGACTTTCCAAGCTGTTGGCGGAGGCTGCGCGCGTGCCAGCGGCGACATGTGTGCCTACAAGGCAGCCGGGAATGCGGAGGTAGAGGTTGCAGTTGATGAAAGTGCTGTGGAGAAAACTATTCCACTTTGTGCACATGGTGTTCCCCTAATCTAGTTCTACCTTGTCTTTTTACACAAGCCCAGACGATTTACCAGTGTGGGATTTCTGCGGACGACAGGAAATCATCACGCGACATGGTTGCACCCCCCGCATTGTGCCAGATGTGCTGAACAGGAAGTCTCCAGAACATCAGCCGACAGACGATAAAGGTAAGCTTTGCTTGACTGCTACAATAAGCCCATCAGCGCCCACATTGATTAGACATATTAGACGCTCCCTGACATAGCCTCAAACGAACTCGATACCTCTTTGCCGAAGCACCGAAGCTTATCAGGTGCCAAACCGAGGGGCAGGAGCCCAGCAGCCAGGGCCCTGTTGGGCACGCATAAACTAAGCTTGACTGGCAAGCGCCGTAGTGTTTGTGATTCCGGCATGGATCCAGCGCGTTCTTCTTCATGCTGTGCTCACCCTTTGCTGTCGTTGATCGTGCTTACGGGAGGCTTCGCGTCTTCATGCTTGGGGGTTGACATGTTGCGTCTGTTCGTTTCTGTCGAGCTTTGCCTAATTCAGATTGCTTTATTTGGCTACTCTAGCCCCCAATCGGGGATTCCTACCCGGCACCTCAGATCAAGCTTGAAGTCCCAGATACGTCCAGGTTCCTTTGCAGCACCTTTCAGCCTGAAGCACTTCGAAACACTTCCAGTTGAACCCTCTCGAGTTGACCCTCGCCCAAAAACCGTCTAAGGTCAAAATCGTGACTTGCTCAAGCACCATGATCACCCCGAGAAGGTTCTGAGTGGTAAAAAAGAGCGACCATGGAACTCTTGGGCCCTCAATCCAGCCGGCCATGTTGTTTTCGGGGGTGCTTGCTTCATCCAGAATCCTCATGCCTAGCTCTGGCCTCAGCCAAACCTCTCCATACGAAGGGGGGGGGGAGAAATTTCATCCGGCATACATCCAGCATATATCCGGCATATCACTGGCATGCAGATCTGCGTGAAGACACTGACGGGCGAGATCATCACCCTCACCGTGGAGTGAAGACCAAGATCCAGGAAACGGAAGGCACGACCAGCAGTGGCAGCAGTAACTTTTCTTTGGGGATCAGGAGCTGGAGGACGGCCATATCCTTGAGGATGAAGGTGCGACGCAAGGATCCCAGCTCGAAATGTGGCCGTGGTGGCAGGCTCAAGAAACACTTGTTGAGGAAATGGTTGAGGAAGAGCAGGCCCGGATTGATTGACTTTTGATCCGGTGGTCGACCCCGAACGAGGGTGCAGCTGCTCTGCCAATATGATATATATATATATATATTGTCAAATGACAGTGGCAGCTGATGGATTCTGATAGTTGTTCTAGGAAGCACTCGGACTTCGCTCACAAGCCTATGGCGCACACAAGAGGTCACAACGTTTTGCCTGCCCGCGTGATCTATCACGGGGGCCCGAGTGGCTTGACCCAACTAGTGCTGCGGAGTATCCGGAAAAAGGCTGGGATCAATCCTGATTCATCTCAAAGTGGCTACGCTCGCCACTTTCACAGCTCCCAAAACTTTCTTTGATCCCAGCCCCTTTGTTCCTCCGGATTGTACCCCCTGAAGCCTTAAGAGCCTTTCGAGCGATGATTTCGTCATCCTCGGCTACGATGCTCCACCGTCCGCTTTCGAGGACATGAAAAAGGGGCTCGACGTTCCCTCCCACTTTAGTCAAACAATCAACCAACATACGGTTATGATCAACCCAACGAACACGCGCTCCCACTTCGGTGAGGGTCTGTCGTATCACCTGCATTTCGATGGCTGTACGACGATCTGCAGTGTGCCCACACGTTTCTTTACACAAATGGTCATACAAAGATTTTGCGTCTACCACACAAAGATTCTTGGCTTCACTATTGAAGCCTGGCAAAGCACAAAGCCTACGCTGTTTAAGCTCGAGCTCCCACTCTTTCAAGTCAAAGTGTGCCCTCATCATCTCATTGAAAACGGTAACAGACCAAGCAAGATCACCCAGCCGTCGTGATAAGCTCATGCTTTCTGCCGCCAAGGTAGAGTTGACGACCCTGTGGATACGGCCCGATTTCCAGTACAACACGTTGCAGGTTGCCGCAGCTCCATCGTGCATGCACTGGTCAAAGGCCACGATGCAGTGCCCCCCTTGAGAGCCTCCATCTCCGACGTTTCCGTAGCTGGCGTCACTCACCACTGCAAAAGCGAGCTTGTCTTCTGGGATGCTTTGCACTTTAACGGACATGTGGGAAGTGTATCTTGCGCGACTAACGACCTTGTTGATCTCTCTCAAATCTTTGACTTTCAACTGAGGAATTCGGGATGACAGTATACTGACCTCTCCAGCTAGATCCGGACGACCCTCTCGACCCAGCCAGTTTAAAGCTCCAAGTACTGCCCGAGCCCGTCCCACTTCCGCACCGGTAGCTTCTGTATCACCGAACTTGCCCTCGATCTCTATAGGTTGAAGACGTTCTTCGATGAATTTCTGAAGGTCGTAACTGAAACTACCATCTGCGAACTGTTTGATGCGACGCCCGTTGAATCCGACACCCTCCGGCTCCTCCTGGATGAATTTGAATTTACCGAACGTGTATTTCTGCTGCAGCTGGTTCATGCGACGATAATGGTCCTCGGCACCTGCTGTGAACAGATCGTCCACTTCCACAATCACCAACCCCTCTACTTCATTCTTGCCCTTCAACAGGAACAAGGTTGGATCAAGACTCGATTGCACATACCCCAGACCCAACAACGACTTCTTCAGGCTCATCCTCCAATGAGCTGGGGCATCATTGAGGCCGTAAGCCCCGGCTACGACCTCCAATATTTGGCCCGGCTGCAACCCGTGTAATCCCCTGCTAGGCTGGTAGATGTACAATTTCCCGGCGCTACGATGGAGTTCATCAGATTGCATAAAAGCATTTCGTAGATCACCTACAGAAGCTCTGAACTTTCTGGTGGCACAGACTTGCATAGCCATAGCTAGAGTCAATGAGCTTGCCGTCGGCGCATGTTTAGAAATGTCTAGAAAATCTGGATCGCAATCTCCCCGGATACATAGCCGTGACTTGGGAGTTGAAGCATCTCCGGGAAGCTCCCCCGGCTTTCTTCTTCTCACCATGCGTGTCGGAAGTACTCTGTTGAGTTTCCCTTGTGCCTCTAATTCTGCTAAGACTCGCTTCGAATCTTGAGGACTGAGAGGTCGAAGAGCTCCTGTCGCTGCAACTTTGGTCCACTCAGCTCTGTCTGACTCTTCCCAAACCGGCCACTCATGATCCGGAATCTGGGATTCTTTGATTTCATCACCTCCGCGCTTCTTGACAATGAAATGTGAAAGGACCTCCTCATTGACTTGTTCATCGACTTCAAACTCTGTCCTTCCGCGCCATGTTCTCTGAGGCCCCGCAGACTCTCCGCGGGAATTCCACTTTCCTGTTTTAGTGGCACGAGAACCATCTGAAAATTGCATATAGCAAACACTACGAGACTGTAAATATGACACCGGAACAGGACACCCTCGCTGACCACGTGGTTTGAAGCTTCCCTTCCGCTCTTGCACATGCCAACGGATCAATTTTCGAACATTAGGGTCCCACTCCCAGTAATCATCAACCGCTGTCTCTGACTCCAAGGCCTCCCGATCATGAACGAGAGCTCCTTGTTCCACAACGCGGTCATCACGTTCATATGGTCCTGGGCGATCTTCACTACGGGACATTACAGGGCCATATCCGTGATGTTCGAGATCATGTGGCATCTCCCCAACGCTAGTCTCCCTCTCTGGCTCTTCAATCTGCGAACTACTTCGTCTTGCAGTCTCTTGATCGGCACTGGCTTCACGGGACCTAGCATCTCTCGAGGTACCTGCGCTGCTGCTGGTGCTGTCACTACTGCTGGAACTACTGCTGTTGCTAGCTGATGCGAGTTCTGGTTCTCCATCTTGTGCTTGCACTACACGCCTGACTCGAACTTCGCCGGCCTCATCGGCGAATCTCACCCGCCGGGCTTGGTGCGGCTCCCGCTGATCCTCGGCGTGGTCGTCAGGAAAAGGCTCTAAAGTAATATCCTTGAATGGTTGCCTCTGCTCTGACCGACTCAACTCCTCTCTCAAGTCTGCCATCTCTTCCCGAAGCAATTGATGGGCATCAGCTTCTGAAGAAGTTGCTTTGCGTATCTGCTCTTTAGCAGCCTTCCACAACTCACCCCGCATCGAGAGCCACAAGTTGGGACCCTCCTCCATGAGAACTTGCCCCGGCCCAACCCATTATTGAGGTTTGCTACTGTATTCGCTCCCGACCGTCTCATTCTCCCCGACTTTCTTGCGCTTCCTCTCTCTGGGCTTTCGGAACACGTAGACCAAATCTCCGGGCTTGAAGGTCTCATGGGTTCGGCTTCGCGTGCGTGCTGCACGATCACATGCCTCCTTTGCTTTGACCTGTACGAATGCCTCGGCCGCAATCTGTCTGATCTCCAGGGTGCGCTGCATTTCCTCCGAGGCGCTCGCTTCAACAAGCTCGGGATCGAGGAAGTCGTCGGACATGAGACTCCCAGGAAGCCTAGGATTCTGCCCGAGATGTCTTTGAGCGGGAGTGAAGCCGCTCCGATGGTACAGACGATTTTTGGCAGCCTCTGTCTCACGCAGTGCTGTTGACCACTCCCCAAGATCTGTGGGACAAACTTCCTCTCGCACCCGTTCAAACAGCAACTTGGCCAGACCTCCCTGCCGCTCTGTAATGCCTTGCTGCCAAGGCGCTCGACTGCCGATCTGTCGAGTGACGATCCCGCGATCTGCGGCACGACGGCAAAACTCTTTGGAAAATTCACTACCAGCATCTGTGACAATGATCTCGGGAGGTCCGAAATGCCGGGCCCAACACTTCCAAAATTTGCGCCAAGCCTCCTCGGCTGTCTTCTCCCGCATCGGCTCGAGAGCTTGATAACCTGACCCCCAGTCGACCACGTTCAGGACTGGTCTGAGTTTGCGGGGATCTACGTCAGGAACAAACATCACGTCGATACCGACAACGATGTTTGGTCGATATCCTCTCACTACCGTCGCAGGTCTACTAGGCTTCGGAAGTGGTCCTGCCTTGCATGCCTCGCAGCTGAACTTCTCCTTCACGAACTTCAAGACGGCTGGACTTGCTCTCGCCAACCTGAGCGTGCGATAGAACATGTGTGGAGCGGGGTGCCCCATGTTGTCGTGCAGTCTCTTCACGTGAGGTCTGACAGATCGGCACCTTCACGAACGGGGTCGTCTTCATGAGGATCCTCCGCATCATCAAAACGGTCACCTGGCTCATCCATCACATCATCTAACTCTGACGGGAATGCATTGACGATGGCAGGAATCACCTTCCACTCGCAAAGGTTAGACCTTGGACCACGAAAACCCAAACTGCACCAACTCTCCCACTCCTGCCTACCGCTGGCACTGGCACCACAAGCGAGGAAGTGCTCCTGATTCTCGTATTCCTCAACATGTGCACATGAAGAATGGAAGCCACCCTGGGAGGTGAACAGCACTGAACATTCGCCTCGAGCTTTGAGCCATTCATGCCACGCTTGTCCAAGCGCCCAGAAATTGGAACCGACACGAGTAGTGATGGCCTGCTTGGCCGGTGTGGTCATCAGTTCCCATTCAATCTCAAGGTCTTTGTGTGGTAGTTGTACAACAAAAACTGCACGCGGGATCACCCCGCTACGGAACTCGCTCCAACACCGTGCGGATTCTCGCACAGCATCCTTGCCCTCCGCGTCAACGGCTCTCTTCAACTGGCCCTGAAGTATTCTAACAAGCCTCTTTCTCTTCTTTCCGGGCAAGGTCTTAGAGTCGAGCTCTACGGTATCGAATTTGTTGAGCAGCTCATCATGCAAAATGCCATACTGCTCATGCTCACAATTCTCCCGGATGCCGTCCGGATCATACTGCAAGGAACCTTGCCTGCCCTTCCTTGACTGATCTCTTCTTCAAGTTGCATCGCGCGCCACTTATTTCGTAGCCGCTCACTGCTCAGAGCCACCGCTCTAAGATCATCGATGCCCCGGGGAATCCCGTTCAATGACCCAAGCCTGGCCCGTATCCCTGGGTTTGGGGGTATGCGTTCACGGCATGCTGCTGCAGCTGATGCAGCGCTGACTCGAACTGGGCCTTCATCGTGAGCATTTCCTGCTGGTGGGTTTCTTGCTGGACCCGCATCTGCTCCTGCATGTTTTGCTCCGCCTGCTTCTGGACAATGGTGATCTCCTGGTTCAGCCTGCCCGCGAAGTCCTCCATCAACTGCGCTTGCCCGGCTCGTTCCAGCTCCTTGTCCTTCAGCGCCTTGATCTCTTCGGGGTCCCACTCGAAGAAATCGCATATCCTTCTGGCACACTTGTAGAAGTGCCGACCCTGGGTAAGACCACTTTTCTTGACCGTCAAACGAACGGCCTCCACTCCACATGGGCACTTGAGCGGACCTCCGGATGCGGAGGCATCGGTCTCCATGCCAATCCCCTCGATGGCCCTCGCTTGCTCGGCCTCCTTGTTGAGCTTCTGGATCAAAGCTCCTTCGAAGCCGTTCGCATCCCAACGAGTGTGGCACTCGTAGCACCAAATGTCTCGGGCCGCACCATTCCCGCCGCCCCGGAGTGAATGAGCTGGGTGATCGCACACCTCCGCCTTCTTGAATGGCTGATCCTTCATCTTGCGGGGTGCAACCTTTTGCGCCGTGCGGATCCACCACTTGTAATCTGCTTGCTTTGATGCCGTCTTCCTTGATGGCTCTGGCGGCATCCCATCCGCTAAAGGCTTGACACATCCCGCCTGCAAGCAGTGCGGCCAGGAGGCACTGAACCAGTCGCCCATGCGTTCTTGGAGGCTTGCCAACATCAAGAGATCGGATATCTTGTCGAGGACGCTGCACCAGTGCATCACGGCTCGGCGAGTGGCTCGTTCCCTGGGTTGCGCTCTTGGCGGGGTCCTGGGCTCCTGTCCCTGAGCTTGCAAGCGCAACAGAAGGTTCATGGCGAGATAGGTTCGCACTGCTCACTACAAGACCGCTGAAAACCGTTTTCGAGGGGTTGCTGGCCGCGGATTCCGCTTGGATTTGAAACTCATGTAGACGTCGGCCCACCTGGCAAGCAGCCTCCGGCACTCTCCACGGAAAACCACGGAAATCGAGAACATCTATACTGAAATGCCCTGAAGGTAACTGCGTCATGCCAACCGTCCTCGAGATGCCCTTCAACTCCAAGACCTCCCGATCCAAGTCGATGGTTGCGCGCAATGCCTTTAACAGTTTGACTGGTATTAATAAAGGCACATCGCCATCAACGACTGCGGTCTCCATAAGTCCGTGGACACCCCCGAAGGCCAGGGGCAGCTCACAGACTCCGCAAGCCTTTGCCTCTCCGCCTATGCCTCGGGTTCTAATGGTCTTGTTGCACCAGCGGGGCTTCAAGCCATGTCCGGCGAGCGCCTCCACAAGCCGCTCAAGAGCGGCCTTGCCAATGACCCCGTCCTGGGCTGCGGAATCTACAATTCCATGATGAGATCGTGTTGTGACTCCGACGAACTGAATCTCGTTCCTGCAGGAATCTAGGCGTGGTGGGCACATCAATGGGCTAGGGTTTCCCGACAGCTTCTCCCTCTCATGAAAGGCTCGCTCACGGCCTGCTCGGATAATAGCACTCAAGGACACCTTTTCGAGCCAATAGATGCCGGACTCTCCGGAATCACCGGACTGAAAGAAGCCACTCTTACTGCTCGCCGCTTGACTGGACCCTCCCGCCTGACTGCTCCCTGTGGCAGGGCCCCCGTTCCCTTTGAATCCGTCAGGCGGGTTAGTGCATTCAGCAGCCCAGTGTCCAATCTGACCGCACCGCGCACATTTCGTGCGCAGTTTCAACAGGGAGATGTGTACCTTGGTGCCAGGTGGTGCTTTCGAGAAGCCTTTCCCCTTGCTGCGGTCCTTACCCTTGCCCTTCGGGCGATCAACGGGATAGTACTGCCTGGAGTTCTTCTGCTCCTGGGGAGGCTTCTCCCTGTCTGCCTGCGACCTTCAAGATGCCCTCTTTTCGCCCGGCCCCCCGGCTGGACTCTCCGCTTCCGGTCCCTCCGCTTGCCAAGCGGTTTCGGCCTCTCCAGCTGGTGTCCCCGGTTCCGCTGTCCGCGCCAATGACCTTGCCTCAGCCACCGGCTCCGCTCGAACTCAAGCTCACCGCCTCTGCCACTGCTTGTATGCAATTGGCGGGGTCGGTGTCAACAGAGTCCTCGGCCTCACAAACAGACCGCCAGTACGCTGCGCTGCTTGTCCGCTGGCGAGACTTTCTTTCTGAGTTGGGGTCTGCGTCCGCTCTCTATATGGAAGCATCTGCATCGCAAAACCGTGAATTTTTACTGGACCGGGCGGCTCGCAAATTCGCCCCCTCTACATTATTGCGTTATTTCGATGCCTGGCTTAACTGGTCGTCCTTCTGCAAGCTGTCGGCCGCGCCCCCCCATGATCCCCCGCCAGGCTTGCTGCCGGACTGGCTGAAGTCACAGTCCAGCCGTCAAGGTCTGGCTACGATGCAACTCCGCGCCCTTGCATGGTTTTGCAAAACGGCTGGACTGCCTAAACTCCAGGTCTGTCTC